GGGGTATTGTTTGATTACTGCGGAGGAAGATTTTACCATGTGACTTGCTATCGACGTCAGCCGATCAGCTCGCCGTAACAGTCTTTCACCACATTTGGCTTTGTTTAGTCCCACAATATTTGATGCGCCTTAAATCAGAGCGAAAATCACTCACGGCCTCCTGAACAACTTTAAATTTGATTGGAGGTCAAGCCGTTTGGTTATGTGAATTTCATTGGTTAGCATTTCATAGAGGCGTATTCTTTGGCGATCAGCAATTGGTGAAATTGTCTGCATTGTAAATAAGCCAAATGAATCAACCTCCTTCTTTCAATCTGTTAAAAGAGACTCAACAAAAATATAAACTTTATGAGCCTCATCGCCTGGCAAACGGTCTTCTGTTTCTTCATACCGTTAACATTAGCATCCGTTGTCGATGACTCTTATTCATCATACGAAGATGCGTATGATGCGCTTCTTAACGTATTTTTCCCAATCATTTTCGTCGTTTTGTTAAACGTCTCGGGAAGACCTGGACCTACCAAAAACGTAATATTGCCGTTACTGGATGATATATTGTACAACACAGTCACTTGGGCGATTCCGCTGATAGTTTCGTTCTCCTATAATGATCTGTTGAGTATACGAATATTCTCGATCATAAACATGAGTTTACATGTGTTATGTGCAGCAATTGCGTTAATTAGACATAAACTGGTTAGCGATGTCATAAATTATGTCCACTCACTCACCGACAGAGGATGGCTTGTAAATCAACATTTGGACGCTTACATATGGACTGGAACCAGTTTCTTCTTGATATGCTTTCCAGTGATGGCTATTCCGGTATTCTGGATTGATTATATCACAAATAATCAAGAGTTTGATTCAATTGCATTATTATTTATTGTTTTGTTTGGGATATTGTCGGCTTCGACGATTTTGGTTATTCCTGCAATCACAAAACTTCGCAAGAGAACCGCTGTTATATTTTTTGTAATCTGGTTTTATTCTCCTAATTTTCTACAAACTATATTAATTTTGTTAAAATGGCCAATTAATTTTTATTTCGTGAAAGCATTTGTGTTTGTTCTCATGGTTTCTTTGACAAGGAGTGTCTCTTATTTTACTGACAATGCGCCTCCGAGGTTTCTGGCTACGTCAACGACAACAGTCCAAGTCGTGATTAGTGAGATTGTAAAAAAGCACTATGGATATGAAGAAAAGTCGGTAAGCGGCATTCAAAATCAGATGAACGAAGTCCAAAATCTGTTGGATGAACTTCAACGTCAACTGGATAAACTTCAAAGCAAGATAAATGAAACACGATAAAAGACGAGGGAAAACATAATAAGCACGATCGCAGCAGATAGATCGAACGTATTGTTTACTGTAGTGTTCATTACTTCTTTCTGTTGTATCATGTCGAGTAAAATAAATCACATCTAATTATCTAAGCATTTCTATAACACAATGGTGACATCGATGGTTTGAAATATTGAAAGAAGCCAAATACTTCTTGTCCATGATATAATGCGACGTTATAGTAGCACCGTACAGTAGGAATCTTGAGATGGAGCAGAATAGGGTAATGCACCGTTTCCCGGAAACAAAAAAGGTTCTTTTCTGAATTGGATGGAGTGTTGAAATGCGCCACGATCGTATACTTTTATGGGATAGTCAACAACTAAGCCACGAGCAATCCTGTTTGTAATTAAATTTTTAACTATATGTGTACAAAATTCATATTCCCGGTCGCACGACATTTAAATGTGCATATAAAGTCAACTTGCTTTTACCTTCATTGTAATTGAAACAATTCTTGTTTGAAACATGGCTTCCGTTAAAGATGCTGGTAACAAATATGGGGATTTTCGGTCAGCAATTATTACACAACATTGGAATGACCCTCCGCAAAAGGTGAGAATGGACTTGTATATTACAATTACTACTCGTACCGTGAAAGTTGGAGGTATTGGTGTGAGTGAAGTGGTAGTCGTGATAAAGTCGATAACCTTCATTCATACATACGTATAATTTTCTAGCTCTTTCATAAAGAGGAAGATGGGTCTGGTTCCATTGATTCGCAGGAAATTGTTACTCTCCTAAATTCTTTACTGGACATTTGCAAAAAGGCATCGACTGTAAGGAAACAGATTTATAACCATATCATGTTTCTCATAAAGTCATGTCGATAATAATATGATTTTGCTACTAATAGCACGCAGAAAGAAGAGTTATCGCTGACACTGAAAAGAGAATAACATTCTTATTCGAGAAACTCGAAAAACAAGAATTACCCGATCCAGTGTTGGGAAAAGTAGGCAAGGTCTGCGAGCGTACGTATACCGGCGAAACTGAAACACGCATCATCTCTTTTGACAAGAGCTCATAAACCCCCCTATCTCCGTTTAGATCTCGACAACAAGGACTTTCAAAATGCACTGTCGATGCATAACAATCTCATGACAACTCATTTCGACAAGGAAGGAAAATGGTTGTTGGGCGTTAAAAGGCTGATTGATTTATATCAAAAGCAAGTAGAGAGTTCTTATTAATGCGATGAACTCACTGTCCTAACTAATTTAATGATGGATGTTAATGTTCTATAGAAATGACTAACCATATTACATCGCAAAGTTAATAGATAGTCGATGAATAATCCCAAGTATATAGTCAACCCCTTAATTATCGTAACAAGTTCCTATAACAATAGAAGGATAATTCGATCACTAATAGAATGTTATATCTGACAGAGCACGGCTTTGATTGTAGCGCGTTATGATATTGCCGGTGTACATATGAAGAACAGCAAATTGCTCTTACCTGGCGTAATGAACTAGAACAAACATATATACATGGATGACAATGTCAGCAATTACTGACGTCAAAGATCAAGAAAGGCTATTACCAAACCGCCGCTATAATTCTCGACCTGGATTTGTTTGTAGTCATCCAGAATCGTTCGCATCTCAACAATAAATAGGTCAGGTTAGCATATGACAACCCATTGTCAATTCCGTTTCCAATATAATAATACTCACCAGTTTAAATCTGCCTCGGATATCTCATTTGCATCATGTCTACCAGATCAAGATGGCAGTCATACTATTATACCGAGAAGCTGTATTCCGGCAGTAGTGTCTGTGACGTATGACAAGGAACAGCGTAGACGTTTCGTACTATCATATATACGTATAGCAACAAAAAGGACAATTAGCATTCTATTCACATATCCACCAAATATTGTCCGATGCCTCGCTTTTGAATTCCCAATCCGTGCTTGTTTCAGGCCTCGATGTATTCTTGCAACATAACATAACGTCATAATATTCATCCCATGAACGGTCAATAGATACCTTCTCAAAGAATATGTGAATAGATGTGTGGCATTTACCGAAGACCAGGGATAATAAGATATCTCCCGAATTAGCATATCATGTTCTAAGAACTCTGACATGTGTTCATAAGCATTACCATAAAGGCTCTATCATCGAATAGATACCAGAACAGCATCTTTTCAAGCGATGTGTTCGATTGTCGTAAACAAATGTCTTTTTCACGAAACGTGCTTGAGTCATGTGACAATATAATCATTGATCTTCGAATTTGCACACTGCGCTCTGATGGCAGAACAAGAGAGTATTATTCCCAACCTTCCTAGGATCGAGATAGAGTTCTGCACAGCTTGCAGATGGTGACTATCTTAATAAAAATTTTTGGTTTAATGTTCGTATCCGTGTTGATATGCATTATTTGTTGACAAGGACTCTGCGTGCTGGATGGGTGGCTCAGGAACTGTTGATCACGTTCGGCGACAAGATTGGCGAAGTTGCGTTGGTTCCTGGGAAGACTAACGCTGTCTTCAAAGTGGTTGTCAATAGTGGTAGGTCAAATGAACGAACGATTGTACAATGGGGTGTTTGTCTGATTGATTGATTCCGGACGCGATGAATAACGTATTTCCCCCGATTCTAATCTGCTGTGCTTGACATGGCTTCAAGTTGTAGTATGGGACAGAAAGCAAGCCGGACGATTTCCTGAACTCAAGGAATTGGTATATACAATATTCCATCTGAGATGAATCTGACTAGCTAATCATTAACCACAAATCCGTTTTCGCCATTAACAGAAACAATTAATACGGGACTTGATAGCTCCCGGTATGGCCCTTGGTCATAGCGATTCGATCAAAAAGGAAAAAGTTGAAGGAAAGGGAAACGAGCAAGTTGGAGCAACAACGGCAGACGCAAAGGAAGCGGCGAAAGCTCCGAAATGCGAAGAATGTTAAAGCCCCATCCATGTATAATCAAACAACCAATAATCTGTTCCACCACGAAAGATTATGATGCGAAGCCTTATTCTATTAAGTTTATGATGCTTTGCATATATGCAGTAGGTTTGTTTATAGATGACACAAGGCATGGACCAAAAATAAATTATAGCGTCAGACGCATGCTCTATTTCCTTAATCATTCAAGCCGGCGAAAAAGCTTGGTATCCAGTATTCGGCGGTTTCAGACTGGTAGTCGACCCAACATAAACCTTCACTAAGAAGCTTATCCTAAAATGGTTATTAAAGCGAAGCGTTTTTAGTAATTATGACCAAAACCATGTTGTATACAGACGTGTATCTTACGCTTACTTACAATAGCATCGTCGGCTCTTTCTTTCGACCATCCTTTTTCAATAATGACCATTTCTTTGGTGATGAAACTCTGTGTCTTTGATAACGTATATAGAGGATGATAAGTGTTTATCATTGCTACTAGATGCCGCGATGACAAACCAAATGAGCAGCCATAATCAATGCTTACTTGCGCTAATTCCAAGAGGGTTGCCTGATCAGTACTGAATTCGTGTGGAACCGACCGGACCATTTTACGTTCGCCGATTTGGATAACCTCGAATCCACCTCCCAGCGGTTTGAGCGTTTTTATGGAACGCACGATGTCGTCTCTACATGAAACTTATATTAGTTTCAACGTCACTTCATTGGAACCCCATTGAGGCATACACTTCGTGTCAATTGTCCTTCCGCTCAATCACCATCAATATTGCCCACACCATAGTTTCAATACTTACTCACTTATCTCTTGTCCCACACTGCCTCTGATTCTCTCTAGATTTCTTTTCAATTCTCCGAGCTCTACTAAGCCTCCGTTTCTATCTCTTTTGCTCAGACACAGATCAATGATCTGTATTCCCAATTCATAATAAAAGTCCCCCACTCCAAGAAGCTCTGCCCAGAATCCTTTGTTTGCTACGAACAAGTAAAATACGGATTGTAATAACAGACAGCGAATAGTTCTTGGCACGTTCTAGACACGTAGTAATATACTTGCACAAAAGAGGGTCTACACCAATTTTGCCGCACATTTGTTGAAAGTATATACGGAGCTGCGGATTCTTTCTGATTTCTTTTTTATATTTGCGAGAGAAGTCTTCAAGATACGTTTTGAAAGTTTGCAACTGGAGTTTTAACTGATATAATTGGCATTAATGGACTGTGAGTTTTTTTCCGTCATATTCGATAAAGAACATTGTGTAAATTAGCCGAGTAGTTTTAATTTTTGTATAATCCGTTCAATGCATACTTGCTCCATCTGCTCTTCCCGTATGGACTCAACCTTCTTTTCGTATCCTTTTTTCTAGAAATGTTAATGGAATATAATTACTCATCTCATTTGTCATAATGTACATTTGATGAATGAGAAGTTTTAATAAGATGTACATAAGAATCTTCGTATCTGCGTTTATCCAGCCGAGCAATACCCCCCCTGCGTATCATCTTTAACGTAGTTTATGGCCGTTAGGCAAACAAGCGAAATGTAAAAAAGAATTGATTTGATTTGGGATGGATGAATTTATGACATATGTTTCGGTTACACAGGCGAGTAATTTAACCCCTACCAAAAAGAGCACAGACTAGAAAACACTTGACCTGATCGCTGTCTGCTATCAAGCGATCTTATGTAAATAAAGGTAAGCAGAATTTTTAGACTGTGCTGAATGTCCTCGTGGTGCGTTCTTTATTGTGATGTGGACAGCATTTTGTTAATACAGCTACATTACATCTTCAAGTATAATGATTAACGACGTCAAAATCTACTAACGCGTACTGACAAACTCAAGATTCGTCTTCGCCCCTCAAGGTATTTTGGTTTTTTATCAGTTGCTCAAGCTTAGTACAGCCTTTCGCGTTCGTCTAGGCACTCACACAACGATCAATTTATATTGTATCGCTTATTCTCACACGATCTCTTTTTATTAGTTTCTACGAACATCTTTGCCTTGATGTACAAGCCTTCTGCTCGGGACATGAGAAACGATTATGAAGCCTATTACGTCCAACTCGGTGACAAAATTGTTTGCATTCTAACACGCTAAGCATCAAGAAAAAACGAGACCGACTTCCTGACACTGTTGTCGATGAATCGAAATCGGTATTGACGCAACCGGAACTAAAGGGGCCTAGGGCAAAGCTCGCAATTGAATATGACAAAACAAAATATGTGAGCGCCAACGAAGAATGTGTGATGGGACAATTATAATTTGCAACTTTTCGTAACCAGTTGCGCTCTATTGTATCATACCATTTGAAATGGTGCTTCTTTGTGGCGAAAAAAAGAAATCATAAATTGTCTTGAACTAATAAACGAGTATCTGGGTCAAATACCGTAATATTCACATAACGAAAGTACTTGCTCTTTGTGCATGATCTCGTCCGAATTTTGGTTGATGCAAGTCCGCCAAATTAGAATTTATCGTTTGTCATCATGTGATGATGATAAACCGACTATCCCATGATGGGCGACAATGTTATTCAACACACATCTTTTCATAACTTTGGACTGCACAATATTCGTATACATTCAAGCGTGATGTACCGCCCAAGTCAGTTATACAAGTTATAAGCCCAATCTTGTACTACCAAGTAGACAATAAGGAGAGACAAGAGGAAAGGGGTTAATCTTAACCCTTACTTTGCTGCACGATGATAACGATCAAAGCTTTATTAGTATTGGCTTGCATAATCTCATTCGCTCAAGCGTCTTCTCCGGGTAAGCCATCGTAATAGGCGAAAAAAGAAGGCATTGCAACAGAAAAAAAGGTGATCTTACCAATAATATTCTGCAGCCTTTCCATCCTGCGTAGGTCATCGCGGCTTACCCAAACAAAATCCCGAAAACACCATACGCTCGCTGCAACATGCAATCCTGGTCGGAGCCGATGGACTAGAATCCGATGTGCGGATAACCCATGATGGAGAAGTGATAATGATGCACGATACGACATTGGATAGAACCACTAACGGGACGGGATTGGTGACAGAGAGAAATTGGAGTGGCTATGTAGAGTATTTGAAAACTGGTGGAGAAAGTGTACCAAAACTTACCGAGGTGTTGGAATTGCTGATGCGTGAGGAGAACCGTGATATATGGATAATTCTTGATGTCAAGGTGAGTAGTCAATCGGGAGGGAGGTTTACGTGTAGTCAGTCGATTGCCCCCCCGGATATGTGAGAAGTCGCTGTCTCTTGGTTAGACACTTCTCCTGGAAATGCTAAAAAGTAAATAGGGGAATAAGTTACTTAATATTCTGCTTTTATCACCACACACAAATTCATTTACTTAGGATGACAACCCAATTGAAATCTTGGATGCCCTCGCGTCTGTCTTCAATTTATACCCAAACTATGACTTTACCGCCCAATTCCACATTGGCATATGGAACGAAGAATTTTTCATGCGTACCCGAAAAGTCCTTCCTGGTTTTCCAACCTCTTTCATCGGTTCGGACATATCACTTGCCCGAGTGCTGTTCGATAAGGTGGAATCGTTTAACATGGAATTCATATTCGTATTTTCCGATCAAACAGGATTCTTTGATGAAGTGAAGTCTCATGGAAGGAGCGTGTTTGTATGGACCGTGAACAAAGAAAAGGACATGCATGAGGCTATAAAGTTTGGCGTTGATGCAATTCTGAGCGACTATGTGGATAGATGCTTGAGAGTTAGGAGGAGGAAGGGAGGAAAAGGGCTGGCTTTGGAAGAATGGGACGAAAACAATGTTGGTGTCGAATGGGATTAGACATGAGTCGTAGAGCGATTTGGGAAGGAATGGTGAGTGCATGTGTTCTTATTAATACATAGAAGCAAAGTGTATTTGTATTTATCTTTTCATGGAAATAAATGCTATCGAAAGTGATTTAGTTGACCGAGAAATTGTCGACCTTCAGCAGGACGGAATTGTAGCCTATGAAGATCCCAAGTCTTTGCTTTATTTCCGCTCATCAAACGGCTAAATGGATATATAACTAATAATAACCGAACTTATTTAAAAATTCTTTTTCTGAAAGAGAATCGGAAGAAAGAAAAAGAAACAAACAATTGTTCTAGAAGCATGTAACATGTATATGTCTTTAAGAACTGGTCGATGACCGTTCAGGTGTGCCTTGGCTCGTCATATGCTGCTGGATCATCATTATCAAAATCATTGTCATCCTCGTCATTATTATCATCATCGCAATCATCGTCATGACTGGTCCCAAGGCGATAAACATTACGATAAGGCTTTCCTCGTAGATCTCCCGTATCCTTCATAGGAACAAGTCCTTCCATTTCTGATCTTTCTTGCTCTTCTCGTAATTTATCTTCCTCCTTTTTCCGCTCTTGACTCTGTCTTGCAAGCATGCTTTTCCTTCTCCTATTATTCCAATCTTCTTCTATATCTTGCCGAACCCGCTTTTCATATAATTGAGCTTCAATTTTCTCTCGCATCATCATTCTATCTGCCGTTTCTCTTCTCGTTTCGGCCCTTTGAACGAACTCGTTTAATAAGGTCTGCGCAATCTTCAGCTTGGTTGTATCCATTCGGTCATTATCGAGAGTGAAAGACTCTTTGAACGAGACAACCTTTTTTCTAAATCCTAGCGCCAAAAGAAAATCCAGTCCACCGTCGACTTCACGGATGTCCCTTCTTATCCTGGCATTGTCTGAAGGCAATGAACGATATTTCGGAACGTCCGGGTTCGTCAGAATGTTTTCAACTACTTTTTGGAGAATTTTTACGCAATTGGCCGCTACGGTTGGATCTTTGTTGTGACTTATTTTCTTTAGAAGAATATCGTGTAATTTTTTGTGAATTACGTCTTCTGATGTCATGACAAGAGATGGTCATGGCGGAAATGTTGATTCACATTGTTTATCATGTTTGATCATTGTGTCACGTACGAGTGCAAGTAAGCATATTTGAAGCCCTAAAAATTGGTAGATCGAATTAGCATGGAATGCTCTATGACAAGCGCGCACCGGTGTTTTGTTGACTACAGAAGGACCAGTTTATAATATGTTTGCGCGGTGGTCATTGTCTTGTTGAATTCGCTATTTTCAATATCCGGAAGAGGTCTCCGAGTATGTCTACAGCAGGTAGTATTAATTGGTTATTCTTATGCAAATCCCTCCTCCAAGCAAAAAGCGTTGTTTGACGCAGAGAGTTAGGCTAGGAATAATTGTTTTAGATTTTAATGTCATCACAATAACTTTACGTTTATGAATTTCACATACCCTTTTCCATAGCTTGGCGACTAGATCTTGTCCGAATAAGTTTGATATCCAAGACTTAAACCCCCCCAAGTATTATAGCTAATTGTTTAGTTTAAGTTTATTCTTTAGAATGTGATAAGTTATTTGGGAGGTAAAATTGCCAGGTATCATTTCTAACTGATGTTTTTTGAAACAAATTAATGAGTACACGTAGATTGCGCAATATATGTCTATTACTATGCAAACAATTTTATCCGAACGTTTGGTATATCAGAAATTGCCAAACACTTTGATGGAATGCTGACCACTGATATGTGACTAATATAGGAAATTAATTTAGGAACGAAATCCAAATCAATTTTGGAAAGTATAGGCAATGATAGTATGATTTTAGGAAGAGCAAATAAAATTTTAGTAATTATATGCGGCACTTGCTACTGTACTTTTTTTTTTTTTGCACTAAAAAGTTACCCAAGTGTATATTAATATACAGAAATAAGCATTGTATTTTGTATTTATTAGGCATGAATAATAGTTAGTCAGTTTCTTTTGATTTATGGTTGCATTAAATAGCCTAATTATGTCTTTATTGTTATCCAGATACTATTAGATGTAAAAATACTTGTTATGGATGTTCCTCAACAAAATGCAGTTTTAATTTATTATTACATCTATTCCATAATAATAAACAAAAAAACGTGCCCATTATTTTGCCCTATTTTTATAATTTCATCTTTAACTATTGCTATGTAGGTGTTCATTTACACTAGTACTATTTCGACGCCGTCACCTCTGGTCTGTTAACCAAAGATGGAGCCATTCCAAAAAAAAAAAAATTGCTACGCTTGCTCAAGACTTCGTTGGCATTTATAGAATAAATAAATAAATAAAACAATAACGAAACACAAAGCACAATCTAAAACTGCAATTAATCGAATTTATTCCCCGGCTAAACAATTTTGGTCAATTCGAACACACGTAACTATACAAGTGTTGGTAAATTACATAGGCTGGCTACCAACCACATTTCAGCATAATTCCAAAAACGAGAGAGAATGATACTTAGTCCAAGTCATATATTACTAGCAGAAGGAAAATTAGACATCAGCAGTTGAATATTATCAGCCCCTTCACCGTAACTGTCGAAGAGCTGATGTCCAAGTTGAGCATATTCCATGTTATTTGTTACCTTTTTTTGTCCTCGCGTTTGTTACCTAAATTAAATGCCAACCCAAAATTGGAAGGTGAAAAAAATTGTATACAAACACAGATTGCGGCTTTAAAAATTGACAGCTTTAATTTTGTAGAGAATCTTTGTTATTCACAATACTACCGCCATGTCGTCTGTTAAGGGTATTCAAAACGAAGCAATCGACGAGTTGATTAAATCCTCCTACGTAAATCAATATAATGAACTTAAGTGGATTCCTTGCTCGCAAGTCATCGAAATAAAGTCAAGTAAAATCGACGACATCTACTACGCTATTCGCAAGAAAACATATGATGGTAGAGTTAAGGAAAAGACGATAATGATGCTATTACTTGGAAGTGTCAAAGGTTGTACAGCAACCTTTGTGAGTGAGTTTGCTAGAATATACTCTCTTCCAACATACAAGTATGTCAATGACGTTAATCAGTTTAGACGATATTTTCCATGGCTTGCATTTCGCAATGAACTCATAAAAGGATTTACCGAGTATAATGATGATTATTACATGGTTGCTGAGAGACGCTTTTACGATTGTTATTCT